TGCGAAATAATTAATGAACTACTGAATGAGTTATTTAATCTTCTTAAGATCGTCCAATGCTTGCTCAATAGTTTTTATCATTTCTTGATCATTTTCTAGGAGATAGTTCTTTAACACAATTTCATACTGTTCTGCTGCCTTATCTTTCTCTCCTGTCACATTTTTGTAATACTCTGCCAACACAACTCTGGCTTCAGTTGTCCGAGGAGATGGATCAATTTCGATGGCTTTTTGCAGTCATGTGCCACTCGTTCAATATATTGTGTCGAAGTTGGATCACTGTGTGGAATACCTTCTTTACATCTCTTCAAAAACTTGTCGTAATAAACCATGGACCGTTGAGTGTACAAAGTTGGAATTGGGGAATGCTCGCTAATTGTAATTGCTTCATTCAAATACTCGAGTGCTTTGTCAGAGTCACCAGTGGATTGACCTTGGGCTGCTTTCGCTCCCAGTTCTGTAGCTCGATCATAGAGGATTGGAATTGTTGAAGCGTTTGGATCTGTAATTTCAACTCTTCAATGTAATTGTGCAAGTCAGGATGTGAATCACGTAAATGTGGATGTGAATCCAAAAGTGCGCTCGCTCTTTCAATATCAGAAGTCGAGCCATTCAAATTCTTTGAATGCATTCGGCACACTGCACGTCTGACATAGCCCTCAGCAAGAATATCTTTTGAGATCATGGACTCATTTTCTGGTTTTTCGAAATGCTCTACAAATAAGGTGAAATCCCGTTCAGCATTGTTCAGAAACACTGAGCTACTGGACGAATTGGCCATTTCAGACATGAATGTCTCTGAAAAGACTCTTCCTCTCACATAATAAACGTAATAGTCAAGAGTGAAATCGGTAATATTATTCTTCTTGGCATATTGGATCGAGTCTTCGATATACCTCTCGCAGTCCATGAGACAATTGTTGAGAACTTGGAGAGCGTCGTCATTCCACTCTGAATTAATTTTCACAGAGAGTGTGTTGCCAACTTGTGATGTATCATTATTGGTTCTTTCATTTGATGTTTCAGCTGAATTTGACTCTTCAGAAGCAGGACTTTCTTCTTCAATATTCATGGCGGCTTCACTATCTTTCATTTCATCAAACAATTCCAAGTTCAATTCAGCTCGTTTTAGAAATTTAACTGGAACTGCATTGTTTAAATCAATAGATTTTGAAATATGATGTAAAGCCATTCTCAAATCTGATTTGACAATTCTCAAATAGGTTGCATATGCAAAATTCACTTCGTCACTCTCAGATCCAGACTCAAGAGCTTTGGCATAATCTTGTTCCATAATTGTAGAATATTGTTCTTTTTCTTTTGGACTTTGTGCTCTTCTCCACAACACCATAGCAGCGCTTGCTCGTCGGCACAAAATCGAAATGTTCAACTCCTTTGCTGCTTCAATAATTTCAGCAATAGGATCTCCAAGAAAAGTTTCTTGTTTTTTTGGACAAGTCTTTCAACATGATCATCAATGTATCAATTTGGGCAAGAAGAGTAGTAA